CAGCAGATTAGAGATAGATATTAAAATAGCTCTGGATTTTTTGTAAAGCAGGGGCTAATCGCCAGATATACCAATGCAACGCATGCATAAACTTTACTTCAATTGATACAAAAACGTTACTTCAGTTGATACATAAACGTTGCTTCAGTTGATACATAAACGTTACTTCAGTTGATACATGAACGTTACTTCAATTGATACATAAACGTTACTTCAATCGATACAAAAACGTTGCTTCAATCGATACATAAAGGTTACTTCAGTTGACACATGAACGTTATTTCAATCGATACATAAACGTTACTTCAGTTGATACATAAACGTTACTTCAATTGATACATAAACGTTCCTTCTTCAGTTGATGATCAGCATGAGAAAGACATCATTTCAATCGGTGATCTTCATGAATAAGATTTACCTTCATTTGGTGGTTAATACGAATAAAATCCATTCCGATTGGTCAGTACGAATAGAATGAGTTTGCAGGCTGATGACGGGACTAGAAATGAAACATCTACACAGCACAGTACATAACGTTGATTTTGAGCAGACAGGCGCAACAAGTCCTTAACATGACCACGCAGAACCAACGATGACTCACACTCATCATAACACATAAAGATATGTACATATGTCATAGATACGCAATGGAGATATCACTGGTACAAGCATGACACTGACACCGACAGGTCGATGACACTGACACCAACAGGTCATGTTGCCTATGACTCATCGCACAACACACACCTCGAGCTGCACCTCAGCTTTCTCACTGGCGGCATTGAATGAGACGATGTTGAAGGCTTCACACCTGAAAATCACACAGAAATAAGAGACAAGCGGTGCATGGAATGGAATATGAAGAACATGGGATATAAATAGAATGGTATATAAATAGAATGGGATACAAATAGAATGGGATACAAATAGAATGGGACATAAATAGAACGAGGTATAAATATAATGATATATGAATCGAACGGGATATAAATAGAATGGGATATAAATATAATCGGACGGAAAAAGAACGGGGTAAAAATAGAATGAGATATAAATATAATGGGATATAAATAGAATTGTATTTAAACAGAAATAGACGGACTCTGTAAAAGAAGTGGTGTCGTATCACCAAAGTACCGCACTGCTTCGTGAGCAACACACACGGGTGTCTCATTCACGAGTACGTAAGCAAACCTCACTAGATCAGCAGCCAGAGACAAACTCACCACCTCGAAAACACCCCCTAGAGGTTCTACGGTGGACCAGCAACCAGGACACCCACAACCAGAACACTTGGAAACAGGGTTAGGGTTTAGGGTTTTGGCTTGAGGATCAGAACATTCAGAACCAGGACACATACCCTTGAGGTCTATACGGCATCGCATTCGTCCCGTGCAGATAGTCGGCTACTATGGCACACATATGCAGCGTGCACATCGCACGCTCGGCCCAGTAGCCACGTTGCGCATGGAACTTCTCAATGTTCTCCAACCACGTGTAGCGCAGCACGGGAGAGCTGGCATAGCCTACGCACACGTAGGAAATAGGTACGGGTGAGAGGCCGTATGGGGTGGTTGCTTGGAGGTATAGTACACTATTATGGGGTTGGTGGGTGGATGTATGGGAGAGTATGCGAGCCAGGACAAAAGTAGGTGTGTCGGCAGATGCAGGCGTGTCGGTGGATTTGTGTCCAGTGCATCCTGCGATCCCCCGATTTAGGGTTTAGGGTTTCTAGCATCTCGTAAGCCACGATATAGGTGGCAATGACAGCACACGAATTAATTCTCACGTGTGGGAGTGAAATATATGTTGCTAAGCAAAAAGAATGAAGCCCAGCCGTACAACTACTAAATGTCTCAGTTCCAAAACCAGAACTGCACCCACCTATACTGCACCGTTTTAGGGTTTTTGGTTTTAGGGTTTTAGCTACACTGTAGTCCAATAGCTGTGCTTCTATTTATAGCACAAGAGTGGTTGACGCTACCTACCTATGGCTATCGAGTACATCAGATCGACGTACATCTCTGGATCGTCAGTGTACTTCTTCATGCGGTGAGTATTGTCCAAAATGCCGTACAGATTGAACATGAGTTTGCTGAACCCCTCCGAGAATCGGGTACCAGGTTTGCTCAGCTGGTTGTCGTTCTTGCTCAGGCTGTTTGCTGCGGGTGAGTCAGTCATGGCGTTTACAGACAAGCGAATACCTTTACCAGAATCCATGGGCTAAGAAAGCAAATATGAAGCTTGCTCTGTATGATGAAGATTGGTTATCTATCTATATAACTATCTTCTTACCCATCTATCCATCTATCCGTCTGTCGACCTATCTATCTAACTATCTATCTGTTCTGTACTATTTATCTGTTCTGTACAGATTTCGGAGTAAAGAAATAAACGTTTGATTCAATAGAATACGAATCGTCTGTACATGTTGGTTGCCATCTTTGAGCACAGTTTAAGGGCCAACACCCAAACCTCTCAGAAGACAGAACAATCTCTTACAATCAGATACAGGGAGCGGAGACTGAACAAAACCAGCCACACTACAGGTGTTTCGGGGTAGTGCGACTACACTGATATTTATAGTGAAGGGTTGGTAGTTGTTCGTTGCCATGGTTACAGAGATGAAGGCACTTGTGCTGTGCAACCAATCTGCCACCGAGTGGTCTATAGGTCGACGATATGAACCAACTCACCCTCGCATTCAAAGACGCATAAGGAATTGATGACAATATTATAAAAAAAACCAAATATGTAAAAAAACAAATACAATGAAAGAACGAACTGACATCACACACGACCAATTCATGCAATATTCATATTTTAAATATAAAAACAATGGAAGAGTGAACCAACGTACCGAGAGTCAGTGTGAGACTCAGATTGGGTGCTTGGGCTGGACAGGCACGTATTCTGCGACTCAGAGCTAAGGTGAGTTGCATCTTGACGCGCGTAAAGTTGCCGTTGTCTGCAGATTGGAACGTTAGGTGAATAAGAACTACAAGAAGTATATCTTTGTATGAAATTACATACACAATGCAAATATATGAAGATGTGTAGGTGTATTCATATACATCTACATACGTATATATAGAGTA